CCAATAATACATTTTTTGTTAAAAGGAAAATATTATCAGAACTTTTTGGAAAAGAAAATACCATTTTTGTAAAAGAAATTACTAATGCTCCCAAGAAAATTAAATTTAGCATTAAATGACTGATAAAGAGTTGATATACCACTAAACTGATTATCAGTCAGTTATTTGCCATGTGTGATATACGCTTAGGCGATCATGTATCTTTCGATAGCAGATTTTTTCCCGCAGTAGGTTGCCATTTCTTTCTGTGGTCTGTCCTGCTATTTACTAATAGCTGGGGTGGGGTAGGGGTCTAAGAAGAATATTCATACTTTTCCCAAGGATATTAGCACTTAAATGAATGTAATGGATTCGACTGGTATTCGAACTCGGCTCTCCGATTCCTCAATCCGAGTCACTGATTTCGTCAGTCAGCTCTTCTAAGTAACTTGAAGCTAAAATCCATCTAAGCTACCAGAAAAAAACCCCAAAAAACAAAAAAAACAGCTGTCCGCTAAACAAGCAGTCCATCGAAAGTCCTTTCTGTAATAGATCTGGGCTCAAGCATGAATGTTTATTATTTATTAAGAATATATTTTCTTGCGTGATTCCGTGGCAGTCGTCTGTCTCGAGAGACCATGGATCTGCGCGCGGGGAGTTTTGATTCAGCTTGAGGTAGTATTATGTCCTTTTATCACTTGTTCACGGGCTCAAAACCCGTAGATGGTGCTTTTCGTGTTTTGTCTTTGTTTTTGAATCGATGCAGGTGTGTCTTAAGTTTGCGCGGACTACGGCAAACATGGGCCTTGAAACATCAAGATCGAACATTCAGTCGCAACTCAACGCCCGCCGCAATAACTGCATGCTAATCGCGGCCGTTTTTACTTGCTATACCCCTCCAGGGCGCATGCCTGGGCAACATTTTATGAGAGATCGACAGTTATCTAGCATAATTCCGCTATTTCTGCCACTGGTATTGTCTAGAGGAAGAGGCCGGTACTGCTTGGCACCGGCGTCATCGCAGAAATTGGCTGAATTAAGGTGGGTGAAACGTCGAACAGATTCGGGGACTTCAGTTCCAGATTTTCTCCTTATTGCACTGCACTGTATTTTATTATTTCGCTCACTTTCGCATCTGTTGTTATTGCCACTAAAATGAACATTTAGCTTAATGCAGTTTATCAACCTTTTCGGGTCATCTTGGTCATTTAGCTGCCGGGAATAGGGCACCCCAAGGCGGTGTAATGGTTAGAAAGCTTGTCTCGTTAGAACAATCATACTTTCGGCATTGTACCACATCTAAGGTACGCTTGGAAAATCACTTTAGCTGCCTGGAATATAAGGTGCTGTAAGTTTGAATGTGCGGGTGGTGTAATGGATTCAGAATTGTTAATCGGAGAGCCGAGTTCCAGTTTCAGTTGGGTTCGTTATATTCACTTACACGCAAATACTCTTGGGAAAGGGTATAGATCCAACCTCTTCTCCTCCCAGTCATGGATTAATTAGTAAGACTTGGATCACGACACCATTATTATGTAAAAAAAAATTAAAAAAAGATATAAAAATTAGAAATAAATAAAAAAAAAATTACCATCTAAAAATATTTCCCGGATTTAAATAACCTGAAAAGGGTTGATGAATCGTAAAAAAAGAAACGAAAACTCAGCAACATGAACAGCTGTTGCCTATTTTTTTTAAAACTGTATTTGTCTGCTACTATTTTTTGCACCCTGACACTTAAGATATTCTACCACACAGAAACAAACAGTTACTGGTTTTTATTCTGTTCATCTTAGATTTGACAATTCTGCGACGATACAACTTTTAATGTTTGAACACTGAATAAAAAAAAAACAAAAATCTAATGTTATCGTTGCAACCTTAGCCCTTTCATTATCAGTTTTCGTATCAGTATATTTCTTGTTGAAATCGTTCTTCAATTAATTTGTAACAATAACAAAACTTCGTCCGCAACCTTTTAAGATAATTAGTAAAAATACCCTTTTGATTTAAAAGCTCGTTTAGGATTCTTTTTTTTATCGACTATTTGGAGAGCGACGATGAATATAATTACTTTTTTGTGGGGACGATGTAGCGTGCAGCAAATCATTACAATTGCATAATATCGATAATCAGCAAATTTTATTTATGAAATCATTGAATTTCTATTGCTTGAATAGCGACACACAATAGACCAATGCGATCAATGGGGAATTTAAAATCGACGCTAACCTTGTACATTTACTCGTATCGCATCTGAAATCGAAATACAATTTATGTCCTTTTCAATCCTGACCAGGAAATAATATATTGAAAAGTAAAGAGATTGTTGTTGTATAGAATCAGACCGATACATATCGAAACTACCACCCCTAGAAAACCCACATTGAATCTGTCTCCGCAGAAGCGATGGCTAATTAACCTTGTTACTGAGCGCCAACCATAATAAGCTCGTCACTGAGGTAGACCAATTCGCCAGTGTAGTATGGTCGATTTTGACAGAACCGTGCCACACTGGCCTTGTGCCAGGTTAAAAATATTTTGAGCGTCTCGTTTTGGAATACTGGTTAGCCAGCTAGCGTCGTACATCGCTACTACAACAGTGAGTTTGATCCTCACTGAGTGCCGTAAGATTGTGGCTAAGTTAAATTTAGTAGATTTTACACCAGCTCCGTGTATGGAATAGTATATTCGTTCGGCTTTAGGAATCAGTGTCCGAGGTAAAAAGACGGAATTTTGAATGTTGAATTTATAGGTAATTAGACCGTCAATGATTGTAATATTGGTGGAATACAATCTTCACACTTTTTTTTTTATCAGAGAGCCGAGTTCCAATTCCCGTTGGGTCCGTTATGTTCACTTACGCGCAAACACCCTTGGGAAAGGTATGGATCCCACCTCTTCTCCCCCCCCCCCCAGCTATGAGTTAATTAGTAAGAGTTGTATCATGAGGCCATTATTACCTAAAAAATTACTTTGCAATCTAAAATTTTTTTCTGACTCAAATAACCTGTAAAGGGTAGACATTCCGTAAAAAAGAATCAATAAAAGCACAATCATCTGGTTTTGTGTTGTACTTAGCTGAAATTAAAGAATATAGTTACGTAGTATTGTTATAACGAATAAAATGTGAATTGCTAATGGTAATATTAGCGGTTTCCCTATAAGGAAACATCTGGCATCCATTGACCGAGCAGCCAGTACCGCTTTCGGATGAAATTTATAAAATTTTTCTCTTAAAACAATTTTTCAGGAAAACATTTTTTCAAGTCCAGTAGCTGTTATCGATCTTTCCAATATTGATGGGGGGTTTCTTCCTAATTTTTTATTTGAAGAATGTGGAATGTCAACATACAGATTATGCCATTAATTTCTCTTCGAGTTACATTTGTCATCCATTTTGGTTGTTACTGCTCTTGGTAGTCCTCAAGTGATGTGGTTTATGTTTTATTGTACACTTTTTTGTTTTCGATTCTGTAGCGCCAGTGCCCAATGTCCAAAGAAGGATGACCTTTGCGAAGACCCTCAGGCTTCACTCGCTCAAAACCTTATTTAACCATTGATCTTAGAATGTGGTTGAATACTGTGAAAAGTTTAGATATTTCTGAATGCGTTTGACGCCATGAAAGTCTCGATTTGACGAGGCTATTTAAGAACGTGACTCGAGTTTTCAGGAGGCTGTTTTGGTTTTGTTGCGATGTTGGGTGAAACTAGGTATGCAGAGGGGCCTAGTCTATATTCAGTCTTCATTTCTCCTATAGTAAATTTGTTATAATTCATCTTTATGAAGAGATATCTGAAGTGTTTAGTATTTACTACTTCCACCCGTCCGAGGCATGACGATAAACTACATCCGGCAGTAAGGCCTTTGATCGGGTGGTTTTGAGGAGCAAGGAAATGTTTCTTAATTTCTGTTCTTTTATTATTCACTCTTAATAATTTTTGTCTCGCATCCTCTAACATCCAGTAAAAGCTTGCGTTTTAGTGGCTTTATTGCCTTGCTTGAGTTGAAATGATGAAAAAAATAGATCAACCGCTAAACGGTGCTGGAAAAAATGGCCAGCTTCTTATACCACTCCAGAAAGTACCTGACTCAATCTGCCACTCTCTCTCTCTTCAGAGAGTTAGATCTGACCCCAAACCGATTATTGCTGCCAAATCTGGACTGGAGCTGCCAAACTTTCCAGCAATGACAAAATTCGAAAATATATTTTCCACTCTACAACCCCTTTTCCACAGGCGAAACGTCATAAGCCACTCGCTACTCTAGTAGCTCTATTTCAATGAAAAATGTTCTGACGAACTACATTCCTTAGTTAAACCAGTTCAGACCGTTACAGCTTAGATCCGCCATGCCAGTATACAGGGTCAAATTATCGTCATTTCCTTCGTATTCCATTGGTAAGAAGAAAGTTTAATTTGGACAGCTTTTTTCCAAGAGTAAGAAATCCTAAGAATTTATTTTTTGCTGTTAAAAAAGAAAAATGAAAAGTTTTTTTTTTTTTAAATATTGTTTACCATGAAGTTCTATATAATTAAATTAAGTAATTATTATACCGTGAAGTACGGTTTTTGTGAAGGCATTTTTCCAAACAAATTCAAATTTGATTGATTAGTTTGCGAAATTGAATAGATTTTGTAAATCACGATAAAAATGTTAGCGATAACTTCAACGATACTAAATACTATGAGAATTCCAACACACGTTAGCGTGTTGCAAAAATAAAATATAGTTGGGAAAAAAGCAGGGATATGATGCCTGACTTAATCCTCCAATGTAGCACCATACAAACTCTGAAACTGACTATTACACTGCGGGGATTTGTTGCGCAGATATCATTATGTAAAAGACTGATGCACTGATTTCCTAAGCAGCTTTTTGTTAGACGGTGTGATTGACAGCGTCTGTAGATCTATTGGCACAAATGTAGGCGAAGTCAAAGTTGAACAATTTTTCCCACTTTGCATTGGGATTAGATAATGCGCATGCTCGTAATAAATGCGTTAGTTGTGAGACATTTTTACGCTATAAGCAGAGGAAAAGAAGGAGAGAGAGAGAGAGAGAGAGAGAGAGAGAGAGAGAAAGAAAGAAAGAAAGAAAGAAAGAAAGAAAGAAAGAAAAAGACTATACAAAAAACAAGGAAGGACGTAAAAAAAGAGAAAAAAGGCTGGAAACATAGAGAACGGAGAAGGAGAGGATATAAGTTAAAATACGGGAGAGAAAAGACGGACGCGAGAGAGTCGAGTGAAGGAGAGAAAAAAGTGAGACTAAAAAGGCGAGAGAGAGGAGAGTGAAAGACACAAAAGACGAGAAAGGAAGGGAGAGCGAACAGAGAAAGGGGAGGTAGACTCAAAAGAGCGAGAGAGAAAGGAGAGACGGAAAAGGCTAGAGAATGAGAAAATGAGGGATGCAGAAGAAGAGAGATGGGGAAAAAAGGAAAGATAGATAGATAGAGAGAGAGAGAGAGAGAGAGAGAGAGAGAGACCCAAATGACAAGAGAGTGAAAGGAGAGACGAAAAAAGTGAGAAATGGAGATAGAGGTTAAACCAAAAACACGAGAGAGAGAGAGAGAGAGAGAGAGAGAGAGAGAGAGAAAGAGAAAGAGAGAGAGAGCGTGTGATAAAATAAGAGAGACGCAAAAGGAGCTGGCAAACGCAAGAGAAAACGAGGGATGGGTAAGTTGAGATGCAAAAAGGGAGAGGGATAAAAGAGAACTATAAAAGAGGGGAGAAGGAGTGAAAAACAAAAAAGAATGACGCCAATGAAGAGAGAAAGGAGAAACACAAAAGAACCCTTTGTGTGTCTGTGTGTGTGTGTGTGAGAGAGAGAGAGAGAGAGAGAGAGAGAGAGAGAGAGAGAGAGAGAGAAATCGTGAGGGAAAGATGATGAAAAAAAGAAAGGTTATATGATCAAACGAAAACAGAGTTAAGTGAAGATAGATCGCTATAAAATCAAGAGAAAAAGATACAGAGAGGCAGCGGCAGTAGGAAGTTATTTGAAGCATCACCATAGACTATCAAACCAATTTCAATCGCAATCTCTCCAATCAAATTTAATTGGTGGAATGGGGTGGGGTTTAATCGATAAAATTCACCAATCGAGGTCTCGTTAATTTTTTTCATAGATTTAGCTAAAAAACAAAACAAAAACACATCAACTTGATTATCACTAATTTATGAAGTGTTTTGAAATCTCACCCTCTCGTAGACCGAGAAGAAAGAATATGGACATAGGGTACAGTGACCTGAAATGAGGATACCTGCCATAGTGCAGTGGTTAGTGTACTTGTTTAACAAGCCAAAAGTCGCCAGTTCAATGCTCGGTAGTTGCACACACAAATTGCAACGATGTACAGAATTAGCGTTTGAATGTTTTTCAGTCCTTTCCAATTAGTTCCATCGTGCGCTGTTTGTTTATACTTAGCCCGAAGTATGACATGGCTCAGGTGAGTCCAATAATTGAGTGTAATATAATGAAAGTAACGTCTGATAAGAATACAAAACTAGATCTTGCCTACGTAAAGTAATTGTTCATTAATTTCTGGGCTCCGTCTAATTATTGCCCGTCCTGGGTATGACGATAAACTACATCCGCGTCCTAGGTAAGACGATAAATTATGTCCAACAGCAAGGCCTCTGAACAGGAGTTTTTGAGGAGTGTGGAATCACATCTTAATTGTTTTTACGCCCAGGTCCACCGTGACCCGGGGTGGCAGCACCTGTTAGGATCCCAGCTATGAGTAAATAGTTAACCCCTGACCTGGGGTCAAAACACTATGAAAGTATAAAAATAGGTTTTAATACCAGAAATACTTTGTAAAAAATTACATGCAATACATTATTACCAGCAATTCGTTTTTGAATATATATATATATATATATATATATATATATATATATATATATATATATATATATATATATATAACCAAACAAAAACGGTTAACAAAAGGACAAAATTTATTAAGAGCTAGAAAGGACAGGAAATTGTGGAGAGCCATGATCGTCAACGTCTTGAATGGACACAGCACATAGAAGAAGTATCCGGTGGTCTTGTGTGTGTGTGTGTGTGTGTGCATCTTAAGTTTAGCGAGTTTCACCTGTTTATGTTAGTGCCATCCTTTGAGGCCACTTAGTATATTTGCGGATTATTTTCTACTTTAACACACAAGGTACCTAGGTCTTTTAATATTCTGAGGCTCGTAATAAAACCTACTTTGGTATCGCTTAGGGTAAACCCAGTACATATTGGGGTCATCACAGATCAACTCTCTCTTAGATCAAATTAAATTAAATTCGGTGAAAACATCGAGTATTTCCTAGCGGGTATCAGAATACGTAACTATTTTAAGCTTGAAGAGCAAAGATCAGGGTTTTTTTTAGGCAATTTTATATTTTAAAGTAAAATATCGCATTTCGCAAATTTAGAAATAAATTTGGTTTTGTTCGTTGTATATTGAAATTTGAATTTGTTCTTACCGCACATATAAAACTAAAAAATAGAGATTTTTTTTTTTCCACAGAGGAATGACTATCACTCTTCAACCAGAAAATAAAATACATTTAAAAAACTTTTCTCAAGCACATCTACCATTAGATTACGATATTCACCCAAAGAAAAACGTTACAATTACGATGTTAGACTTAAAATTTCTGTTAAAAAAACAACAACAAAAAACAAGCAAACAACAGCAGTATTTGGACCCTAGTCTGTTGATTTTGTTTTGATTTACGGCCTATCAACGTCAATGGGTTATTTAATGCCGACAATATTTTTATTGCTAGTAATATTTTTTTACTAAAAAATATACGGCTGGTAATATTTTTTACTTCCAAAATGTACCGCTGGTAATATTTTTTCCTCAAAAATGTACTTTTGGTAATACTTTTTACTTCCAAAATGTATTGCTGGTAATATTTTTCTTCAAAAGTGTATTGCTGGTAATAATTTTTCCTTCAAAAAAATTACTGCTGATATTAAAACCTATCTTTTGACTTTCATATTGTTCTAACCCCAGTTTGGAGGTTAACTATTTGCCCATAGTTGGAACCTTAACAGGTGCTACCACCCCGGGTCAGGGTGGACCCGAGAACACCAGCAATTTAAGAGGTGGTTCAAATCCTCCTGATCAGAGGCCTTACTGTTGGACGTAGTTTATCGTTTTACCTAAAATATTGAAGTTCACTCAAATAAGACTCGAGAGCCACTCAAGGTAAAGGGTTATTGTTAAAATGTTTATGATGAATGATGGGTGATATGAGTGAAAGAGGTGGTGGTTGCAAGTGAAGGTAAGGAGGATAGATAACAATTGTACCTTGGCTTGAAGAAGTCAAGATTGTAGCCTTCAGGGAAACGCCCATGCAATGTAAAAGTTCCCGAGGAAAAGGCTTTCCGAGTTAAACTTTCTACTTATATTTGGAAAAACAGATGGAACGCGGGTGGTTTGCTTTCGTCGTAGCAGCATGGCGTATACAAGTTCCGAATTGGTGCACGTAAAGAAAGGATGAGAATAGCGATTGTGTAGCGATAGGCTTGAGACATTGTGTCTGAGGGAAAGAGACTGAAGTGTGGCGAATAAGTTTTTCCTCTTCAAAAACGACGATTTTAAACTCTGTAAAAGCGGTTCTTTTGTGATAAAACAAATTTGAAATTTCTTTTTTAGTGAGTATCGATTTTTCTTTTAATTCTCCGAATTTTAGACGCTACGTTTAATGGCAGGCACCGGATGAAAAACGTGATGATTTGAGTATACTTCGAAATTAATGCATTTTGCTGTACGTTTCCTACAATTTTTTTTTATAATATGAATAATAAACATCGTGGAATGAACGTTTTATATTCATAGCCATGGTTTCAGCCAAATAAAATTATTTGCAAACAATTTCTGGCGAAGTTAAAGTAATTGTAGACTCATAGACTGCTCATATCTCACAAACAGAGAGAAACGTTCGGCCTTCTTTATTACAACCGGAATTCACAAGACTCTTTTGACTTCTCTCTATAATAGGATAGTAGAGAGGATAGGCGTTGTGGTTTAGGTAAAAGCACGGTAAGAGTCTGTGGTCATTTTTTTTTTATTATTATCTTAATTTCATAACCGGAATATGGTTAACGGAGTCATATACAGCCGTCTAGTCTTAATAAAGTCATGTGATGAAAAGAGGAAGAAAAGCCTCGTTTTAGAATTCTGGAATCGAAATCAGCCGGCCGATTAAAGTCTTCCCGTTTCTTGTTTTTTTTTTTTGAATGATGAAAAAAAAAGTGTTTATTTTGTTTTTATTTTTTGAAACTGCCACAAATTCATAAATATTTTACACACACAGGAAACAAGGAACTGAGTAAACATTAAGAATATCCTGAACATTGTGAAATGTAGTTATGTTAGGTGTAAGCCAGGCATGTCCAAAGTCCGACCCGGGGGCCAATCACGTCCCGCGGTCAAATTTCATATAGCCCCTATCCTCTGTCATAGAACGTATCACTTATGGCTCGCTAGTATTGTCAATAAGTGTGTGTAAATTACAACCTAAGAAATGTAATTTCATTTTTCACCAAAAGATGGCAGTAGCACTGTGTGGCCGCCCTCTGGTAGTATGACCCTTGCCTTGGCTTTTTCCAGGCAATTTTTAAAAATTTCACTGCGCTTGAACCAGACCACCGCCGGCATACTGCAGTCCAGATCTCACTATCACCCTTCATATTAGATCAGGCAAGTTATTTTGGTCATCTGAGATGAATAAATTCTAAAATCTTAGTGAATTAATTTTGTTTTGTGTTGGTGAAAATCAATTATAAAAATATTTGGACACTTGGACTTGTGTCACTTTGTTTTCTACTTAATAAGATGAATGTTGGTGTTAAATGTTATTAACTTAAAAGTTGACAGACAGCATTAATTACCAATAATATGTAATTGGTAAGATTAACCCGAGATATATTATAGTTTTCTGGAAGTTCTTTTTTTCTCAGACATATTTTACTTCATTTTATATGGGCTTGTCATACATATGAGGAAATGAAAATATGCCATTTGTAATAAAATTTTCATAAGATAGTCCCTTTGCCTTTAATTTTAATGGTTCAAACAATGTCAAGCACAATGGTTGGTCCTCACGCATATTCACCTCACCAAATATGGCTCTCTTTGAAAAAAGGTTGGACACCCTTGTTGTAAGAGGTTGTGGTCGTGTTATCATAATTTCATTTCAGGGCTGAAATTAAGGAGTCATACACAGACGTTAGTAAAGGCATGTCATGAAAAGCCTCGTTTTGGAATTCTGAGATAGAAGTCAGCTGATTCAGGTCTTTACTTTTCTCAGTTTTATTTATTTTTTTTTTGGCATGATGAGAAAAGGGTTTATTTGAATTTTTATTTATTTTTACTTTTTGGAGTTGTCATAGATTCCTAAACAGTTTACATGTACAGGAAAAAAGATCTGCGTAAATAACCAAAATATCCTACATTGTGCAAAAATGGGGCTGGGAACGTTTCAGTCAGTCTAATATAAAAAAAATTAAAAAATAAATGCATGCGTAGAAACGTGGGATGTTTCATCTTTCCTTCACAATATCAATATATTAATCACCCGGGAACTTAATCACCTATATGTAACTACAACCAGGTGTAAAAGTGTTATATTAACAACGAGATCCCAGTGTTAATAACGGCTTCATAGACACTGGTCACATCTTTACTGGTGTCTTGATTAAAGCGTACAATGAACAAAGGGAACTAATTTCCCTTCACTAAGCGTTACGTCTTGTTCGCTCGCCGCTTTCTGCTCCATCCTCAATTCTGTCTTCCATTCGACCATATCGGTACATAATAAAAAAAAAATCAATCTTCTCGGTTGAGTCTCGTCTGTTACGTTCAGTATTACAGATAGAAATAGATTATTTTTGAAGACTAGAAACAGCTGAGCTATCTCCAAACTTCGCACCCTCCAAACATGACAATACCTATTGTCATGTTTGGAGGGTGCGATAGTTTGGAGATAGCTGAGT